TATGCTTTATACGGAAGATCTCTATCAAACCGATTCCCGGATTACCAAAGTGAATAGTGAATATTGGATTTCGAGCTGCCACACCTACAACTCTTAGAAACTGTGTTTACTCAGCCAGTGGAGCGTCCAACTTAAAACCGGCAGGTCTCGGGTTCGAGCCTTTTTCCTGTCACCCGCCTTTCTCCCTTCTAAGGCTAATGAACGAGTTCCATTGTTTGGAAAGGAAACGAGAGACTGCACACTACGCATGTTACATAGCTACTTCATAGTCGACTCTGCGTTTGAAATGACTAATGGAAATAGTAATCAGTGTCGTTCCATAACTTTATGAAAAGAATGGTGCCAGAAATGATCCCGTCATAAAAGTGTAAGGTAGACCGACATGAAAACGTTTGTAAGCTTTACTTCTGCTTATTTTACTCCCACCTGTATCGCAATTAAATCGTATTGTTCAAAGCGCTGTCTAGCATGTCAATATTAAGTAAAAAATGCGAAGGCCGTCCCTTAGCAGCTCTTCATTCCTTTTTTTCTGAAATTACCCATACTGCGTCAGAAATTGAAGATGTTTTCTCCTCCCTGTACATCTACCCCGGAAAAGCATTTGCCGTCGTCGGCCCCGTTGTCATATATGCGAAAGTCTATCGCAAGTCCTGAGAAGAACAGAGTAGCAGTTGACGCTCAATATTGAGTGTTCTCCCTCATGCACGACAAGTCGGAACAGTCCACAAGTAGCCATTTGTTTTATTCTCCAGTTTGTCGGCATTTATTCTGTATTTAATGTTCCAACCGTCTGGATATCCTGCGGGCTAGTTTGATAATTCTTTATCATTGTCCTTACATCACAGTAATCGTCTATTTTATATGCGTGAATCTGATGATTATCGTTGCTGGTGTTTTCCGTTATATCGGTGGTATGATGGTAGAGTGCGTACGAGGTCACTTTCTAACTCGAACTTAGAACTTCGTGCCGAGTTCTGTTGCCGCGCCGCTACGGCCAATTTGTCTTTACCACGAATTTCCTTCACCAACAACGGATTTGCCACACGTTACTTCAGATCTACTTTCAAAACCGAAAGGTCCCGGATATGCGCTTCAGTCGGGACCAGTAGGTTTTTTCCTGTCAAGGTTGATAGATGAATGGAAAAGTCAACAGGGGAATACAGACTACGGTTGTCACGTAGCTGCCTTTACAAATAAGGCATTTCTGGCAGATGATATGGAAATGGCGATCAGCTCTCCCGTCATTAACTTCATAAAACAAAAGTGATGCATGAACTGACGCCATCGCGCATGTTTAAGGAAGACTGATGACAAATTTTCCTTTTCCTTCTTCATCTTCGTCTTCCATCGCTACTTCTCTCTTCGGGTCGCGGAGGCAGACACAA